GTTTGAGGCTGGTCTGGCCAACATAGTGAAGCCGCATCTCTACTAAAAATACAAAAAATCATATACACCATGGAATAGTATGCAGCAATAAAAAACGACGAGTTTGTGTCCTTTGTAGAGACATGGATGAATCTGGAAACCATCGTTCTCAGCAAACTGACATAAGAACAGAAAACCAAACACTGCATGTTTTCACTCATAGGCGGGTGACGAACAATGAGAACACTTGGGCACAGGGAAGGGAACAACACTCACTGGGGTAGGTGAGGGGGTGGATGGGAGGGAAGAGGAGGGACAGTGGGGGGACTCGGAGGTTGGAGATGGATAACACGGGGAGAAATGCCTTATGTGTTGAGGGGATGGATACAGCAAACCACCATGGCATATATGTACCTGTGCAACAATCCTTCAGGATGCAGGATGTGCACATGTACCCCAGAGCCCAAGTACCATAAAAAAAAAAGAAGAAGAAAAATACAAAAAATATCTCAGGATGCTGAGGCAGAAGAATTGCTTGAACCAAGGAGGTGGAGGTTGCAGTGAGTGGAGATTGCACCAATGCACTTCAGCCTGACTGAAGCGAGACTCCGTCTCAAAAATAAATAAGTAAAATATATGATTCAATGTCTTATGATATATAGAGTTGTGCCTTCAATGGCTTATGATATATGAGTTGTGAATCCATCATCACAATTTAGAACATTCCGATTACCTCAAAATAACTCTGTATCCTTTAACTATTACTCTTTAACCCCCAAGAATTCCCTCATCCCTCTGTGCTTAGCCTTAAGCAACCATTAATCTACTCCTTGTCTCCATAGAGTTTCCTATTCTGGACTTCCATATTATGGAATAATATAACATGTGGACTTTTGTGGCTGGCTTATTTCTCTTAGCATGCTTTCGAGGTTCATCCAAGTTGTAGCATGCATCAATATTTAATTTCTATTTTTGACCAAATAATATTCCATCATATAGAATATCACATTTTGATTATCAATTCATCTGCTGATACACACTTGGATTGTTTTCACTTTTTTGGCCATTATGAATAATGCTGCTATGGACATTAATGTACAACTGTCTATGTGGGTGAATGTTTTCATTTCTTTCTTTTCCTTTTTTTTTTTTTTTTTTTTTTTTGAGACAGAGTCTAGCTGTGTCATCCAGGCTGAAATGCAGTGGCACAATCCCGGTTCACTGCAACCTCTGCCTGAGTTCAAGCAATTCTTCTGCTTCAGACTCCCAAGCAGCTGGGATTACAGGTGCCCGCCACCATGCTCAGCTAATATTTTTGTATTTTTTAGTAGAGATGGGGTTTTGCCATGTTGGCCAGACTAGTCTCAAATTCCTGACCTCAGGTGATCTGCCTGCCTCAGCCTCCTAAAGTGTCGGGGTTACAGGTATGAGCCACTGCCCTGGTCTTGTTTTCATTTCTTAAGAGTGGAATTTCTGGATCATGTGATATTCCGATGTTTATTTGAGGAACTGCCAAGACTGTTTTACAAAGTGGCTACACCATCTTATATTCCCACCCATGGTGTATTAGGATTCCAATTCTTCTGTATTCTCCTAATACTTGTTATCTAACTTTTTGATTATAGCCATTCTAGTGGGTGTGAAGTGGTGTCTTGTAATTTTGATTTGTATTTCCCATATGACTAACGATGTTGAGTATTTTTTCATGTGTCTATTGACCACTTGTATATCTACCTTGAAGAAATCTCGAGTTAGATTTTTGCCCATTTTAATTGGGTTATTTGTCTTTTTATAATGTAATTGCAAGAGTTCTTTAGATATTCTAGATAAAGTCCCACATTAGATTTAGATTCCTTTGTTTGGGTCTCCTGTTTTCATAGTTTGAATTGCAGTACAGATTCAGGATATCTTTCTCAATTTAGTGGTTTTTGTTAATAACTTCTAGAAATTTGTAAATTTCTTTGCCTTCGGTTAAATCATCTAATCAATGAGGCCCAAACTGCTGGCATGAAGACCTTTCTGTGCCTTTGGCCACAGGTATTGCTGCTAGACTGGATAATTTTCTTCCAAGCAGCCAAAGTGTGGTAGACAGAATAACGGACAACAAAGATGTCTATCCCCTAATTCTCTAAATCTGCAAATAGGTTACCTTACATGGCAAAAGATATTTTGCAGATGTGATTAACATGTTGAGGCTGCAGTGAGCTTTGATTGAACCACTGCACTCCAGCCTGGGTGACAGAGTGAGATCCCATCTCTAAAATAAGAAGAAAAAATAACCTTTCAAAGAGGAGATTCTCCTGTATTATCTGAATGGGACAGAACACTTGCTGGTTGTGGTCAGAGGGAGCTATGACTATTAAAGAATTATCAGGGAAGATGCAATGTTGCTGGCTTTGATGATGGACAAAGGGAGCCATAAACCAAGTAATGTGGGCAGTGTCAGAAGGGAGAAGACAAAGAAATGCATTCTCCTCTAGAGTCACAAGAATGGTATCCACCCAAGCTGATACCTTGATTTTAGCTTAATAAAACCCATATTGGACTTCTGGGCTACAGAATTGGAAGACAATGCTTTTTTATTGTCTTAAGCAATAAAGATTTTGGCAATTTTTTATAGCATCAATAGAAAATGAATACATAACACAAGTATGGATTCTCATGCACCCAGCAGCTGAGTCAACAGAAATTTATAATCATAATTCCATAAGAATAATATTATCACAGCAATGCTGGAGAGTGTCTTATTCAGCTATAATGAGTAATTTTTCTTATAATAAGGTCATTTATGACCCCCACACATGTATTTTCAGCATAATTTTTAGGAAGAGTTGTCAAAGACATAGGCTTAATTTTTAACAGAAAACAACTGCAGCCTATCAGAATTTTTTCTACTAAATTCCTCAAATCTCTTAGTTATTAAGTGATAGGAATTCCTTCACAACATTGCCTATATTTTTCAGAAATTATTTATTTCATTTATAATTAAAACTAGAATAGCAACTACTTTAAAATGTTTCAAAGGAAACGTGTATGTATAGGTATATATTTAATATACATTACCTATATATATCACAAATATGTATTTGAGTTAGGTGAAGAAGAATGAAGAAAGAGCTCAATTCAATGCAACTGCAGAGTAAATCTATTCCCTGTTCAGGCTTTCAGACTATTTCAGACTCATTTCTGCAACAATGAATGTGACGTATTGACAAGATGATAAGGTATGGGAATATACTCAGACTGATTCGCTCAAAATGAAAATCACTTATGATGTCTGATCCAGCTTACTTAGGTCAGTGCTTCTATAAGAGCTTTGGGTTTTGTGGTCTGCATTAGTGTGGTCATTGGTGTAAAGACAAATATAAACTATAAACCAGAAGTTACATTTTTATGTGGGCATTCAGTTCAAGGAATAGAAGTAGAAATCATAGATAAATTTCACTTTCTTAGAAAAACAGTGCTACAAGTTAATGCCAATACACTATATTGGCTAAAAACTGAGGCACTACATTTAGGTAGACTTAGATTGTATTTCAGATTTTTCCTTTAATTGCTTGATAATTATAAGCAAGTTGCTTAACCTTTCTAAGCCTCAGTGTTTTCATATGTAAAACAGGAGATAATATACCAACACTTTAAGGGTTTGGGAAAAACTTCAAAAGATAATAAATGTAAAGCACCCTGTATACCACTGTAAACTACATTTTGACTAAATTAGAAATCAACAAATAAAAGCTTAAAAACCAGATTAAACTATATGTTTAAGATCTGTGCTTTTTACTGTATATATGATATTTTAATTAAAAATTATAGTTCCTAAGTAAAAAAAAAATTAGACATAGGCAATATAGAGATGACATGATGACTCCATGGTCACCAGAGACTCTTGCATCTTTTAAGTTTATTTTTTACTGTCTTAATCTTTAATGTTTCAATCATTAGGGTCCAACAAGGCTGTGGTACTAGTCATGAAATACAGATTCCAGAAAACAAGGAGAACTTAGAGAAGGAAAGAGGGCCCCCTTCCTAGATGAATTATCTCCTTTTAAACAGTGTTCTTGGATGTCAGTATAGCACTTGTACATACAGCTCATGGCTACAACCCAGTCATATGTTTGGCTGGGAAAATGTATTGTTTTCACTAAGCAACCTAATGCCCTAAGTGGAATCTGAGATCTGTCATTAACAAAGAAAAGATAAATGGATATGAGTGGCCACTGCAAATTCCATCAAAGATGTTCAATATTTCTCCAAGGAGAAAAGCTAACTTCATTACCATGCTGCTTTATCTCACTAAATAAATATGGTGAAGGTGTCCTCCTATTTGAACAACACAAATATATAAAGCGAATGAAAATAATTATGTTAACACAAATGCTAACATATTAATGAAAGGAAGCAAAATTATATAACATTTTAAGAGAAAATGGCATCAAAGAAGATAAGAAGTATGAGGGCATAATAAAGCAGTAGCCAGACATTCTCACTGTACTAGCTTTTCTCCTTCTTGATTAGACTTCACTGCAACCTTAGTGCATTATTGCTCTGTATACACTTAGTGGATTAAAAACTAATAAGCAAACTGACAAGGAACTACAACTGATTATGTAGAGCCAATTTCTCACGTTTTTCCCACTTCTATACTCCCAAGCTATTCCAGAACTACTATTTGTACAACCATTGACCTCAACAGTGTTTTGATTGGCAAGCTTTAGAACTATTCAAATTGGTAAACTATGAAGAAAAGATGAGATACCATATTTAAAACAGGGACAACATGAGAAGTCCCACAGAAAAGTTTAGTATAAATTATAATTTACACTAGGTTGACAGAAACACCATACTCTATATTTATCATAAACATTAAAATATACACTATGAAACTGATTATTTTAGCTGAATGCTGAAACCAAAGTCATTCCTAAAGTTGGAGTTTTCTTCCATTTCTGGCACAGGGGAAGGGCCCTGAATATTTGGTAATATTGGCCTCAGAAACTTGAATTCATTTGTCCCGGAACCTCCTGCCAGACACACCTCGTACTGGTAGCTCTGGGACAGGGTCCCGGTGTCGCTCACGTCCACCAGATGCCCTGGAAAGGGACCCTCGGGCACCGAGCAGCGACTCACCAACGCCCCCCTGCTCCTCCTGCACAGCCGCACCGCCACGAACAGGAGCACCGAGAACAGGAAGAGCGACGACAC